TATATATGGTTAATTACACAGAAAGAGACATGGTTATATCGACAGCGGAATAAAGGAAGAAGTAGAGAGAAGGTGAGAGACAAGAGGATGGCATTTGACAAAAGGCGAAGATAGGACAATATTACATTTTTAATTGTATATATTACCGAAAGAGAGAGAGAGAAATAGAATAAGGAAGGGAAAGAGAGATATAGAGACAGAGAAAGAGAGAGAGAGAGAGAGAGAGAGAGAGAGAGAGAGAGAAAGAGTGAGTGACAGAGAGGGAGTGGGAGTGAGAAAGTGGGAAGTAGAGAGTTGAGTAAGGGAAGAAGGAAGTGGCAATGTTATATTTTGAATTATATCTAGTTGATGTACTTATATATGTCAAAAAATTCAGTAAAAATATCTACATAATTGCAACTCAGGAGAGAAAATAGGAAATTGTAATTACCCGTATTGTTTGACGCAAAGAGTTGGTTCCCGATGAATAGGAGATGATAGAATTTATTCCGATATCTATATTAATCACTACATCACCCTTTTCACCCCGTCGGTGAGGGGGCTTTGGTTTATTTTTTCACGAAGGCTCCAAAACGGGGTAGGGTGATTGGGGATGACCCGGGATAATCCGCCGATAAATCCGATGTCCGCACCCCCAGCCCCACGGGAACAATGGGGGTTATTGTTTTGTCCCGATAATCCGGGTTGGTAGGATAAATACAGTAATGGTCCACTTAGGGCTTTTAGTCTCCCGGCGGCTTGTTCTGCTGGCCACTAATTGAGCTGACAATTAGTCCTGCGTTGGGGGGGGGGGGTGAACCCCTGGAAAATTGATATATCGGCAAGTTTCGACAGCCTCAAATAGTCAAGTAAGAAACGACTCTATCGAAAAACATCAAACATAATTATTTTCAGAAAATGTTGTAGAATACTTCCGCCTTTTAAAATTGAAATATGTATACTGCACACGTATATATAATTTTCGAAAGACCCAAATTTTTTTAAAAATAATTTCTTTGAACTAAAATGTCACAATTACGGCCTTTAAAAAATTGTTCGTAAAACTTTATGGTTGCGAGAGATATCAGATCAAATAATAAATAACCCCATAAAAAGTTCAAATGTAAACCACCATTTTCGAAACTTAATGATCGAAAAATTGTCCCAAACTAAACAGATTTCTACATTAATTAATTATGGTACTTTAATTTTTTTTAAATTATTTAATTCTTGCACTCCAATTGGACATGTTCAAATTGCTTCTTGTGTAACACATTACGAATTAAAATAGCCTTTGTAGATGTTGCCCCGACTTGACATTTTGTGGTTAGGACTTGAGTGGTTGAGGCGTCTGAGCAAAAATGACTACTGGAAAATTATCGTGATCCATAAATGGACTCGTATCGATGGACTGATGATTGGATGATTGTTTTAAGCCAAATAGATTTATTCATGAAAGTATTCCGCTCTAGTTTTGACTTTATATAAAAATTATAAATATACAATACATGACAGCAATATCTCACTGGCACTCTTAGCACGACACGCAAGAATGGCACAATTACACAGAAAACAAACACTTTGAGTGAGTACAAATACTTTGAGTGAATATAAAAATATATTTTGTATAAATTCACTTTTTTCCACATCCTACATGTATTTATTAAATTTAAACAATGTTTGTAAATCCCAGGCCCTGAAGATGATCTCAATAAAGATCGAAACGTTCGCACGCTAAAGAAAATGTTTTTCTAAAACCTACATCACACCAGACGTATCTCACGATTTCTGAAAAATCTTCGACTAACGGTCACTAATCACCACACAAAAATTATAAAGCTATTTTTGATAAATATTTTCCTTCAGCAGTGGTCTTTATTTTCGCAAGCTGAAATATTGATAAACATAAGAAAAATTAATGGATTTTTAAAAGCCCAATAGCTTGTTGGTCTAATGAAATGAATCAGTGTTCTGACAAAACGATTTTTCTATATACCGCGCAAAGGCGACAGGTCATGCCTCACCCTGCTTATATCCTTAACGGGGTGACATCTGATTATACTTATCTTCCCGAGAACGGCTGTATTTGTTTAAAATATACCATTTGCGAAACTACTATGTTGAAAAATGCTGCGTTTTTTTTTGTTTTTTTTTAAACCTTAGGATTCAAATCATAAAATTTCGCTTTTATCAACTAGCACTTTCTAACTTCGAAATATTTGAAGAATTTAAACTTATTATTGATTGTGTGAAAAATCTGGAGGAGATTTCATGGAAAAAAAAAACGACTTTTTTTTAACTTGTTTATAATTCAACAAAAGATTTTATCAAATACACGACGAATACCTTTGTATGGTTATTTGCATATAAATATTATAGGCTGTTAGAATAATATTATAAGTAGCCATTATTTATACGATTAAGTCCTTTTATACTAAGCGAAATTTTATATATTCTTATAGGTATGTTACTTTCTATACTTAGGTTTGTACGTTTTACCCTAGATAGAAATAATTCGGGAATGCTGTTTTGCTTATCAGTATCCAACAATTCTTCTGTTTTCGAAAGACTTGATGTTAAAAAGACGTCTTGGAAAGTGAAACAATTTGTGCCCGGTTGTAATTATGTTGTTTTTACCGGCCGTTAGTACAGATAAGTCCGGAGCACGGTCAAGAGAGCCGGTGGCCATTGTCTGAAACAGACTTTATCCTCAATGACATCTCCTCTTATTTGCATGTAATGGCCCCATGGTGCATGTCCGGGCGGCCACATCTAATTGCCCTCTCCCGATCCATAGATTAGAGGATAATTTGAGAAATCGTCGACTCTAATTTATGGATGTCTTGTCTTTGTGACGCTCCGGTGGCAGCAAAGCTCTATTACCATATCTCCCTCGGGCGGACCACACAACTATTTCTATTTACTTACGTCTCCAAGACGAGGGAGAGGTTTTTTTTCTCTAGAAACGCAATACGATTATAAATTCTGATTAACTTGCTGAGAAACTACATGTAAGATTTTTTTTGTTTTTATTTTCGCATTTCCTATTCAGGACATTGTTTTGAATAAAGCCCTCCCCTGGAATGTTATATTTTAATGAATTTATAACGAGGAAATGAGAGATAAATCCGTTCAAACCATATGTGCCGTTACGTGGAACTTTGGCCAGTTTTACAACAATTATTGAACCCATGTTGAACCGGCACACGGGCACTACTGGGTCTGTCTTCACTCGCGGGTGAATTATTACTTCAATTATTGAACCGTCCAAAACTCGAACTCAGTTTGGACATTATTAACAATTTGACGGTAGAATCATTTAAAAAATGCTTTGATTTTTGCTAATAATTAATCAGGTAATGTACTCCTGTACTTAAACAGTGGTACTGACAGGTAGAAATTTCATAACTCTTCAGTACATAGAACTGATTATACTGGTCCGCCTATTCTCGCTGTTAGTGTTAATCCATTAGGTCATCTAGTCCAAATAAAAAGTTCGTCATAACCATCAATTCGATTATTTTTCAACTGCAGGCTACACGACGAAATATCACATTAATAACAGAAACATATCTTTTAAATTTGTAGACCAATGTCTATATAATTCGAACCTGTAACTTTTAAGAGAAAAACGGACATCTTGATTAAATTTGAATTCACATTCGATGTTTTTAACAAAGGGGATTTTTGAATTTGTTTCGAAAATGTATGTGATACAATCAAATCAGGCTTCAACAATTTAATTAAAAAGCCTAAGAGGCCAATTTTATCTGAAACGTAAATTATGAATACATGATCAGATTTTGTAACCTTTTAAATTTAAAAATCCATAATCCTGATTAAGGGATAATGTAATTAGTCTCATCTCTGGTCTTTTTTCTAATATATAATTTTAAAATATAATTACTGAGAAGAGAGCAAAATAAAATATTATGCTGAAAGTAACGTTGGAACGTTTGTGCCATAAGTTTTAGAAGAAAAAATTTGCTTAAAAAATTCTAAGGATTTTCGGATTTGGATTTATTAGGCTCAAATTCGCACATGAACACACACACACACGCACGCACACGCGCGTGTATATNATATATATATATAAACTGTGCAGGACTGATAGCCTATCACTTCTCGTATTCCACCGGCAATGTCAGATTTTGCAATTTACAATTAATTGCCGGCAGTAATTAATAAAATGCACTATCCGTGCAACATTAGATTATTATTTTTCCAATTTATTATCAATTGCTAACACTTGGTACTTTTTATGTTGATCCAGGGGAATATTGTATAATTTTTTTAAACTTGGTTATACGAGCCAATCTGGGTGGATGAACAATTGCTTCGTAAAAGTTGCAGGACAGCGCGTGAAATAATTCCAATCATGAAAAATTGTTTTGCCCGTTTTGATCAATGCGAGGCATATGTCAGAGAAGCGAGAATTTTCGAAAATACGCGTCAGTTAGTGTCGATATTTTTAATTCATCGTGCGCAGCCATTTTTTTAATTTGACGTTGTCCGATGAGGGTTGTCGAAAAAAGAACGGGGTTTTTGCAGATAGCCGGAGCCCCACGTTGCGACATGGTGATTTTGCCGACGGCCTGACAGATCTGTTGTTTTCACTCGCAATTACCGTTAAGAAGGGAGGATCAATATTTCAGGCCGGGGCGAGTGGGGGAGGTTTGACGCAAGGGTTAACATCTGTCTGATAAAACGAGTTAGGGATTCACGGGGGGTTGGCTGAGTATACAAAGTTTGAGGTCAACCCTGACGAGGGTTTAATAATTAGTACATGATGGTTGTCACTCAGCCATGTCACTGGGAGTGGCCGGCGTCACTCACGTCTTAGCCACCACGACACCTCATTATCATATCACAATCTGCCTCCCCGTCCATTATCTTATTGACGCCGGCCCTCCGGCCCTTGCCGCCGGTGAGTCGACCCTCGAAATGAAATATCCAAATGAGTTCCCTTGAAATTAATTATTACGATTTAAAACTGAAATTGGTTTTTTTTGTTGTTTCAGCTTTGGACAAGTTGGGATTCAGGCACGTGCTAGGACAGAATGCTGTCGAACCCGTCCAGCTCAACGTGGCGTTCGACATAGCAAGCCTTGTCTTGTACGGTTGTCAGGCACTCCCCATCCGCCTCAAGATACTTTTAGACAGGCTCTTCAGCGTTTTGCAGCGGGAAGAAGTCGTTCAGGTTCTCAGGGGCTTCGGGTGGAGTCAGGAAGACTACGCTCGAGGATATATCTTACAGGTAACTATTATTTTGTTAAAAAAAACCATATCAACTTCATAGTACATAAGCTCCTCAATAGGCACTTAGCGTTAGACGTCAAGTTCCACTAAATAACAGGAAATATTTTACTTTATAAACGTATTTAAATTATGGGAAATATAGATTTACCTTGATTGTGTAACTTCAATAGTGCACCGAACTAAAACGGCCTTAGTAGGAAGTATCTGTGAAGGCCATTATCTTCAATGGAAGTCTAAATATCCCAGTTATAATAATAAACAAAAGTTTTAGTTTTTGAATATACTGATAGTTTGCAGCACTGTACTAATGGCCAAAATCCCAAGTTATAAAAACAAACATCTCTTTAACAAAATAAATAAATAATACGTTAACCCTCCCTGCACTTACAAAACAGTAAGGTTTTGGTTCATTAAATAAATCTCATATGATTGCCAATTTTATTTAAATATTGATTAATTAACTTTTTGACAGAATTGTTAACCAAAGTTGTAAATTTTCTACCTGATATCCGTTGTTCTTATTGTAGCGACTTAGAATATCGTGTCTAAGGAGTCGTTTTTTTCTTTTTAGTTTGTTCCTTGACAAGCTTTTCCCGTGTATTCAATAGAAACATTTCTTTTTGCCTGTGTTTAGTATAGCCGTTAATTAAATTATGTCGAAACGGTTCGACCAGCATAATGATTGATTAGGTGTAAACCTGTTATGTAAATTTGTAACACTTTTAAAACTGAAAGAATGATCTTAAAGGATTTCCCTCTTGTTCTGCCATCACAACAACACTGCATTGGTGGTTGTGGTGGCTGTGCAACAAATTTTGATTTTTTTTTTAATTTAAAAAAATAACAAAAAAGTTTTTAAAAAATTGTGTTTTTAATTAGTTGAATTGAGACAAAAAAATTTCAAACAAATTTTTCCGAGTATGGCATTCAACTATATGCAACACCACTTTGAATCGATGTTTTTTTTTTTAAATCTACCTTACTCTATTAGTCAACAGAGGTCCATTTGATTATCTTCATGTTCCACATGTTATTGATCGTTTCTAAGAAATCTATCGTTATCTTCGTTCTTTGAAAACTAATCACAAACAAAATTGCAATCTACCCAATCGCAACCTATTAACAGTTCGACAGACTAGTCTGCTATTATTTGACAAATATTTTCGATTTTTGCAAAATGTTTCATGAAATCACTATCCATAATATTTTTATAATATCGTGCTGATTTCATTTTTTGCATTTTTACATTACAATTAAATCACTCTTTTTTTATGTGCGTCATTGAAGTTCTTAATTTTTAAGGATACCTAGTTCTTGTAATTATCATAAAAATGCTTTTGATAAGTTGTCGATTTTTAGATTAAACAACAATTTTAAAGGAACACTAGAAGCTTATCAGTTATTGAAAAAAATCAACGTTATATTAAGATTTTAATGCCGATTGCATATCGCGATAACAACTTTTTCTTTTTAGTCTAAAAATATTGACATTTTAAACAGGTCATTACGGTAGCAACAATCCATTATCAAGTGGGAAAAAATAGCATAACATTTTTAAAAACATAGCCCTCGTGTTTGTGCAGGCGTCGGTTAACCCGATGGCGTCTAGGGCCATCATGATTGAGTCGTCATGATTCGGCTATGGAGCACAAATGTATTCTTTGTGTAAGCAGTGACTCTGCAGTCTAAGGGCCCGGCTTCTCCCTCCCCATGAGCAAACATCCCTCTAATGACACCCCCTCGTTTGCATTATGAATCACCTGGAAATTAGACGCAGGCCCCCGGCTGTTTTCTGAATCCACCGACGGATTAAGATTATCATCATCCTCAGGTGGGTTCAGTTTGTTTAATTAAAAAAAAAAAAATTAAAAAAGCACGAAAAGACCGAAAAATACACTCATAATGAAGAAAGTAAATGAGAAAAAGCAATCTAAATTTTAACCTGACATACTCGAACACAGACCTAAATGAGCGTTTTATCAACGCAAAATCTTGTCTAAAAAAACACATTCAGTTAAATTTTAGTTTTATCCTGAGGAGTTATATTCACGTTTTGAAATCATCTGAATAAATCAACTTGTTTTCAACAATTATTATATCATTTATTATTCTTATTATTACAGATAAGCTAAATAACGTTACGTCATTTCAACAATTATTGATTAATGATTACTGTTTATTACTTTATACAAGCCCAAATCTGCACATTCACGTACATATGTATTTTTTCTCTTTTTTACGGGGGTTCGCAACAGCAGAGTTTATATCAATCCTCGGGGGTGCCGGTGTTTTTGAAAAAAAGCCCATTTGTAAGTATGTTCGAATGCAGGGCCGCTGGATTCGAACCCGGGACCTTTACCTTGCAGTGATGAGCGCCGTGTCAACGCCTAAACGTTGCGGCCACCGACGCCTCCTTATTCTCACATTTCGTCGCAATTCCAGCTTTTGTAATTTACCATAAATTGCCGGCAGGCCCGTAGAATCACCCGCCCAAAGTGTTGACAATCCGAGGTCAGACCTCGGCCTTATCCGTTCAGACACGGAGATTGAGCTCTAGGGGCTATCAAGAGCTAGGTTATTTCAGTCCCCGACGAAATCAGTCTCCAAATCCAAACCATTCACACTCTCATTCTTAAATTGAGTGGTGAAGTACTCGATATTCCTCCACCGCCGTTTACACATATTATCTAACTGACCTAATTGGGGTCGATGGGGTTCTCAATATTCCGCCATCGACCTTCTCATTCCATTCAATCACGCTAATAAATACATTCACTTTCAACGCACGCTAGGGACATGAAACCGTCATTACTTTATGTAATAACACAACCTAAACAATAAATACCTTTTTATGAAAAAAATATACAGAAAATTTTGTAATTACTGAAATTGTTGCCGGACAAAAAGGAGGCCATATGGACCCCTGGGTCCTGAACCCTACTGTGGCTTGGCATCCTGCTACAAAAGAGGATACATCTTAAAAAGGATCCTTAATGAGTTCAAAACCGACAGGCGCGCGAAGAGATTCATAAAAGGACCATCTGCAAAACTTACAAAGGAACTACAGGAAGGCAACCGCAACAGAACCAGGATTCTGGTTTAGACTACTAGACTGGCACAGCACTGCCACTTACGAAAGCAATGCCCCGGAGGACTGAGCACTGCCAGGAAGAGGATCGCAGAACATATTCTATGTTTCTGTGAAGGTCTATGTAGGTGCAAGTACTTGCAACTATGATAAGAAAAACCAGAAGCAAGATACTACACTAAGAAGCCCTGGCAAAGCTATGGAGGCTGATTAATAACTTGACGCTGGCCAGTGAGTTATAAATAACAGGGGAGCACAATAGATGTAAAGAGACAGGGAGCCGTGCTCAAGGGCAGTTCTTATTTCGGCTGGCATTACCACGCTCTCTCTATATGGAGCCAAGGAATTGCACCCTTCCATTAGGACAGACACTTACGCGAGCTTTGACCCAAAAGTGCGTGTCTGTGTGTAAACCTCGCCTGGCCTATTCTTAATCGTGTGAGTGTGACCCCTCCTTCTTCGAGTCGTTTCTCGATGGGCAACGCAACGACATGCTCTTGATCTCGAGAGCTTCTTTGCCGATCCGGCCAACCGACGCTTCCATTTGTTTAAATTACTTATCATATTTTTATTGCATTTTTAGCGTCAGAGAGACGGATCCAGAGGTTGAGACATCCCGGCCTAAACCGCCTCGTCCCCTCTTAGTTTACCTTCCTATACGCGTGCTATCTATCCAACAAAATTCAACAGTTAATATATCAATTATTATTATTTTTTATTACAGATAATCGTACAGATCGTAATATAATTTTTTGTCAATAAATCTCACTTATATTAGATTGATTTTGTATTTCGGGTGACAAATGTTATGTTATGCTGTGCGCTATTTATTTACAATAAAAAAGTTAATAAGAAAAAAAGCAATCTAAATTTTTATCTGACATACTCGAATCACAGGTGAATATGAACGTTTTATCAACTCAACATTTAGTCTATACAATTTTATTATTATTATTATTGTTTACAATAATAATAATAATAATAATTATTATTATTATTATTAATTTTTAAGGGCGTTTTAACGGCTAAGGTCATTTCACGCCCTAACATCCAAACCTTCTATCTTAGGTTAGCTATATCTCTTCTGAGTGCTATAAAGCTCTGACTCCAAACATTCACTATCCTATTGCCATCCAAGCTTTAATTTTTCTTTTTAAAATTCTTAATTNGTCTCGTCCTAGTTCTTAGGAACGAGTACATATCTTGGTGAGGGTTACGGAAAACTGAAGGAAATAGAAGATGGAAAGGCTTAGACCAAAGTCTAGCAACAAACCTAAGAATTGCCTCCTCCCTGAAAAGTTCCGGAGGAAGGACACCGGCATCATTGCAGAGACTATATAAAGGGCTTGTTCTAAACGCCCCTGTTGCAATCCTGATACCCTGATAATAAATTCTATCTAGAGGTTTTAAAGTTGATATTCGCGCTGAAGAGTAACCTGCTGCTCCGTATCGAAACTTTGCTCCTAAGTACATGCTGAATATTCTTAAAAGAATGTCTCTATTCGCCCCCCAATTGTAATTAGCAAGGAATCTCATGAGGCCTAGTATTTTCCTTCCTGAATTAGACAATTGGGCTATTTGAGGTTTCCATCGAAGGGCTTTGTCGAAAGAAACTCCCAAATATTTGACAACGTCGACTTCCTTTATTTCAACGCCAGAAAGGAAAAGCCGAGGTGTTTCATGATGTTTTCTCAGTCTACAAAAGTATACAAATACCGTTTTGGACAAAGAGAATTTGAAACCTAATAATTATTATTATTAATGTTATTATAGATAATCTAATTTCACTTTATGTCAATAGTTAATATATCGTTTATTATTATTATTATTATTGATACAGAGAACCGTGTAGATCTGAATAATTTATAGGTCAATAAATCTTAGATCTATTAAATTGATTTCGTATTTCG